GTACTGATTGAGAGAGCAGGTTGAGACCCAGGAGCTGTTGTGCAAAAAGAATGGTAAATTATATAAGGAGGGAAAGTGGAAGGGTGGGGGGGGGTGGAGGCAGCCATTCATCAGTGCTTTTTAACCCTTTCCTGCTGCAGAAGCAGGCAGCTCCGGACAGAGGGCTCGGAGATGGCTGCAGTGAGAGACATTTTCATAAATGGTTTGTGCTGAAGGCTTTGAAGGGAGGACAGCATTGCTCCCTCCTCGCCCTTTGCCGACAGGCTTTGTACTCTGGGTAAAACTGTCGGAAAAGGTAGAACAGCTCCTAATCTAGGAGATGATTCCTGTGGGAAATCAGGCTGCTTTTCAAGCATAATTTGAAAAGCCGCTGCCTCCAAAACTGCGGGGGGGGGGGGGGGGGGGGGGGGGGGGCGTAGAGAGGAGAATGCCATTTATAAAGCAATCAACGCTTCGACAGAGTCAGCCATCACTCAGAATTATTTTCCGAAATTTGGCCTCTGTTCCGTACTCTGGAGGAAAGGCAGTATGGGCACTTCGCTTCCAATCAAGCCTGACACAGAGGCTGGGGTAAGTCACACAAAGGGAGAGGGGCCCCCGCGCTGTTCATCACGGCTGGAGCTGCGGAAAATCATTTCTAGGGCTTCTCAACTCTCCGGCATGAGCTGGAGGAAGACTCATCAGAGGCTCCATTCATCTCACTTCTTACTTTTAAACTTTAAAGCACATATTTATGTGCCTCAAGTTGCCCATGAACCACGGCATGTCAAACAGTTTGGGGTTGATGGAAGAGGTACATTTTCTCGTCCTGGGACTTTTGAAAACACAATCTCATCGCTGGTCTCTCCTCCTTCCGATTGCTCCTAGATGCTGCCGTGAGATGAATATTCCTAAAATGCTGCTTTCAGAGCATTACTCACCTGTTCAAGAACCTTCCAAGGCCACTTGATCTGTTAAGGCTGGAATCCCTAGGTTGGCATTCAATGCCCTTCATAAATGTGGCCTCAGTGAGCACAGCCTGCTCACACATACCCTCCCGGGCTGCTGAGCCACACCGGTCACCTGCCACAGGCATGGGGTGGTGGCTGTCTATTACCATTGCCCACTGCCTGGCCACCAAATGCAGTGCTTCCTTTTGGGGGAAACCACTCCACCCCAGCTCTGCCTCCATATGCTTTGGGTGAGCGGATCTGAGCACCTGCCTCTAGGCCTGCCAGGAGAATGCAATGATCAGAAACCAGCAAACTAAGGTCCAAGGGCAAAAGAATGGCCCATGGCCTATTTTTGAAGGATTTTACACATTTAAAACATTGTTAAAAAAAAAAAATCCAAGAAGATGGCTCAGAGATCCTATGGCCTGCAAAGCCTAAAATATTCACCATCTGGCCCTGTGCAGAGAAAGTTTCCCGAAACCTGCTTGGATGTACAAGGCTTGGTTTGGGGTGGGGCGAAGGACTTGCTGAGCAAGCGGGAGGCGCTAATCCTAGGATTTGAGCTTGGAGCTGCCAGAAGGAGGTGCACACTCTCCTAGACTTGTTCAACTCAGAGAACCTCAGCCTGGAACTAGTGGCCAACCTTGACACTTTATAGAGAAAGGCTGCTAAAATGCGGAGCCTGGCTGTGGGATCTGGAGCAGGAGGGTGGGTGGGTGGGGCTGCTGCCTACGTGAGCCCAGGCATTTCTTTCTGCTCAAGCCAGTTTAAGTCGGGTCTCCTGTCAGTTGCAACCGAAGGAGTTCTGATGAATACAGATATTGGCAGGGATGCCCGGCTGCCTTCGTCATGTCATTTTCCTTGCCTGGACTGCCCTCATCCTCTCTTCCTGCCAATAGTCTGCCTGTCCTACCAGGATCTTACCGTCTTCCGTCAGGGTCCTCCTTAGTTTCCAGGGGGTCTTAGGCTCCGAGATTAAACCATCTCTTCCCTCAGCGATAACTGTCCAGAGGACGATGTATTTCACCCTGCCAAAGCCGTGAGCAGTGGAGTTGGACGGAGGGAAGGGATGCACAGCGTCGAAACCCTGGGCACTGTGTACACAACAGCACTCACTCTTCCCTCTGCAGCCATTCAAAGAGGCAAAGGCAGCGACTCCATTTTAGAGAAGGGAAAACAAAGGAAAGTGACTCGCCCAAGGTCACACAGGCACTAAGGGGCAGAGTCCGAAACCAAGCCCAGTGCCGATGGAGCTCCAGGTCACCTGAGCTCTTTCTACAATACGAGCCTCCTGAGGACCACGCCAAACCCCGTGCAGGAACCCCGGTTCCATCTCTGTGCTTTCCTGAACCCCCCAGGAGGCATCCACTGCCTGCAGATCAGAGCTCAATGTCTGAACCTCAAACTCAAGGCCTCTCAGTATCTACCCTTAACTCCAGCCAAACCAACACTCAGAAACCCTGAATGAAAGGAGAAACCCTCACTGCACCAGCCGGGTTGAACAGGGGGAAACGATCACTTTGAGAAGCCCACGTAAACAAGGACTAGAATGAGTCAGCTGGATGGGTTCAAATTAAAGTTGCCTGGATATAATAATGACTGGAGAGGCACTCTAATTAGTTTTTTTTTCTTTTTTTTTTAAATCAAGCGCAACAATCTGCCTGCAGGAATCCAAAAGCAACTTTACTCTTTGAGGACGAGATGGGTTTTTGGAAGACTGTGGCAAATCCTCCCACATGGATTATCTCCCGGAGAGCCTCCCAAGGGCCCAAGTTGCATCACGGTGCAGGATGTGTGTGTGTGTTTCCTTGCCTCTTGGAACGCCATTATGGCCTGCCGTGCCCAGGCACCCTGGGAAGGCAGACTACTTGAATTGCCCTGGAAGCCAGGTATTACTCGGTAAGTCCCACCACCTCTCTGACCTGTTTTTCATTTGTCCCGACCTAGAGATTCAATTAGCCTAGCACTTTGTGTCCCCAGTGGAATTGGGAACAATGCCGTGAATCTTCTTACGGTCCTCTCAATTAGAAGGTATTTCCCCCCTTTTCCCAAAGGAAATCATCCCAGACTCTTAAAACTAGAAGAGAGGTAAGTGATTATCTTTCTTTCAGGGGTTCGTAACTCGGGGTCCCTGCAGGCTCATAGATGAAGGCTCTAGAATTGTCCATAGAATTTGTGAGGTCAGCTAAGCAGACCCACCCAGCAGGAGATGAGATAGTGGATGACTGCAGTCTTGGGGGGTGGGGAAGAGGAGGAACGTTTCTGGGGGAGCGGGTCCTGAGATGTCATCAGATTCCTGGAGAGACTCAGGATCCCCCAGATTAAGCTGTCTCTCTGGTGCACTGTCTCCACTTTACAGGGAGAACTGAGGCCCAAGGAGAGGGAAGGCCTCCGATGACTCACTGGCAGAGCCAGACCAGAACCCAGGCTGCTGCCACCAGCGGTCCCAGCTAGACATCCTATGCCCTTGCAGAGAGGACCCTAGTAGGAGATGAGTGGGCCTCTCCAGAACTGGCCGGGGGCTCCAGTATATCCCCATGCCAGCTGCCTTCTGGGTTTTATAGAGCGTGGGGTTATCTACAGCACTGGAGGAGTTCTCCGGATGGAGTCTCACCATGCATATGGTGAGGAAGCATTCGTCACTCCTAGGATCCTTTAGCGTGTGTGTGTGTGTGTGTGTGTGTGTGTGTGTGTGTGTGTGTGTGTAGGCCCACATTTACATAATCTGTGCTTTAAATCCCTTTGCTGAAAAAAAATCAAGTATTTATCCTGCCTTTTCTACACAAACTCCTTCAAGGTTACTGTATAGCTGATGCAAGGAATGTTCCCCTCACATAAGTACTCTCGCGAATAGCAAGCCGCAGGCGCGGTGGGACCAAACTGCTCTACTCCGCATGTCCTAATGAGGGAGTGGGTCCAGGTGACGATCGCCAAGGACCGCTGCTCTCGTAAGAGAGCAGATATTATACACCTCCTGATGGAAGTAAGTAATACCACTTACGGAGGAGTGTGGCCAAAAACAACAAGAACAAAAGACCCAAACCAGATCACGCCTCTTGTTCTGCCTCCCCATTTACAGGAAATACAGGTGACAGGAGAAGCCCATGAAATGACCCCCACAGGGATGTAATCAGTAGATCCAGACTGTGGGAACTGCTGTAGGATAAATGACCTTGTTTCCTCAAAAACATACAGGGAGAGAAAAAGAGAGGTGGAGGGGGAAATCTAGAAATTACAAGAGATTTATTAAGGGACATAGAGATAACAGCAATGTATATACCTTATTTGGATCCTGATTCAACGCGCTGGGGAAATTTAAACACTCACTGCGAACAATATGAAAGGACAGCTGCTAATTTGTTTAGGTGTGATAATGCTATTGTGGTTGTACATTTTATTTATTTTTTAAAAAGATTTATTTGAGAGGGAGAGAGAGAGAGAGAGAGTGCACAAGCAGGGGGAAGAGGGGCAGAGGGAGGGAGAGAGAGAATCTCAAGCAGATTCCCCACAAGTCATGGAGCCCGACATGGGGCGGGATCCTAGGACCCTAAGATCATGACCCAAGCCAAAGGTAGACACTTAACTGACTTCAGCCACCCAGGCGCCCCGTGGTTGTACGTTTTTAAAAAAAGGTTTAGATAGGACATCTAGGATGTGCTTCAAAATACTCGGGGGACGGGTGAGCTGCAGAGGTAAACGCATGAGGCAGCAATGAAGCAAAGCTCGCCATGTGCTGGTACCTGTGAACCAGGTACCAGGTACTGCCATGTGCTGGTACCTGGTACCTGGTTCACAGGTACAGGGGGCTTGAGGTGTACTACTGTCCATAATAAAAAGTAAAAACGAATCAATCTTTCACTTAACAGGTATGCAAAAAATTGTCATGTGTTGTCTTTGGGGAGGGAAACCAGATGTCTGCGGAGCAAGGTGGGGAGACTGACTTTTCACTGTTTCTGTTTTGTCCTGCTTGGATTTTAGGCCACGGCTCTCTATTACCCATTCAAGAACATAAACGCATTTCTTAAAAAGCACCCGATTTAAATAACAAACTTTAAAGTGAGCTGTTGATCATAGTTTTCATCCAAGAAGCACCTTTATTTCATTTTCCTCCAAACTGACAGGTTTCTTCCGGTAACAGCTCCAGCTTATTGTTCCAGGAGAGGGGGGTGCGCGTGTCTGTGACGCGGGGCTGCATTCTGAAGACCCCTGAGTCGTGGTACTTCCACATGGCCCTTGGGTGCTCAGGAGACACACTCGGTGCCTAGTAGAGGCCTCCCTCCATGTGCCCCTAGGCTTTTCACTGTACGGGGCATATGTGGCGGGGATGGCCTGTAGAGCAGCTGGGGGCGAGGAGACGATAAGGGAAGGAGTTAAACCCTTAGAGCCAGGCAATGTCATCTGAAAACACCAGGTATGAAGTATAAATAACAGTCAGCTACTTTCCTTCCATCCAGTTTCTAAGCAGTTGTGTGATCGATCAATTTATTAATCGATTGGCTGTCGGATCCACTGTCACAGTCTTCTCCGCCACAGCCTGGGGCCAGGGTGGGGTCTTCCCCGCCTGCAGGACGGAGCTACCATCCGGCTGCACCCAGGTGTGCGTGGGAGGGGGGTGTCACTGCAGCTCCTGGAGCAGGCGGAGCACATTGGCTGCGTAGGGGTTCCCCTGCCCGGCAGTCCCCCGCAGCTGCACCGGGGGGAGGCTTGGGTGGGGAGGTGTGAGCTGCTCGGGGCAGTAAAGTTCGTTCAGGAGAAACCAGATGCAGTCCGGGTCCACCTTCATCAGGTGGAGGAAAACCCTGTGGAGAGACAGAAGGGAGGGTGGGCTGGCGTCTCAAGGGAGCAGAAAGAGGGGAGAGTGGCCGCTGTTCTCCCGAAGAAGCTGCTTAGTGGGTTATTGGGGGGAGAACCTGATAATAACATCAAATCCCTTCAAACAGCAGAGCAAACCCACTGTCGTTCCTAAGACAGGGCCATGAGGATGGTCCCACAGCATATAAAGAGTTTCATATCCATTGATGTCGAGGAGAAAGTTAGTCCGAGCAGAACAACACTGACATCAAACACGCTCTTGGCAAAGAAACCAGTCAAGTTCTGGGGTGTCGAGCAAGAGTTTTCAAAGAAAACTGACAGGGCCCCCCCCTCATTCCAGGCTCACAGGGTAATAAGCCCGCACTCCCAAGTCCCCAGGTCCTCATCCCCGGGCCACTAGCCTGCGGCTGAGCTCTGTAGCTCAGCCCCTTCTGGCCACCAAGAGCCGTGGGTTCCTGGTGGTCTGGACATGCTCACGCCAGGATCAGACCCAGTTACTCTCCTGCAGCAGGAACCGACTGAGCCAGTGCACTGGTGTCCTACACACGACAGGGACAGAGCTGAAGGGCCCAGGTCACCCGACACCATACGCCCCACCAAGGGTGAGGTTCTTCAACCTGGCCTGAACTCTGGGGTCACCACCCTTGCCTCTCCTCTGCTCATATCCCATTTCTGAATGACCAACCACGTGCCCAGGGCCACCGCAAATTTCACGCACCTGGCTGACTCAGTGATTCAGAGTCCGGCTTTTCCATCCCAGGAAGGATGAGGCCCTCCCCTGGATGGGCAGCTCCCTGTTGGCACATATCACCTGCTCAGAGAGGCTTGCCTTCCCGAACTATTTTGCTTAGGCAGCTGCCCCTTATTTCTCACTTCCAGGATACCTGTTCAGCACCTACTGTCTACTGACCACCTCCCTTTCTCACGAAATAGCTCCTGAGGGCTGTGACCACGACTTTTTGCTTTGCTGCTGCACCTGGGATGACACACGGTAAGTTCTCAACAAACACCTGACCTAACTGGTTCTTTTATTTATTTATTTATTTATTTATATTTTTGGTAAAGATTTTATTTAGAGAGCGAGAAAGGGAGAGAGCAGGAGGTGGAGGGGGGAGAAGCAGAATCCCCACCGAGCAGGGAGCCCGACACGGGACTTGATCCCAGGACCCTGGAGATCGTGACCTGAGCCGAAGGCAGACGCTTAACCCACTGAGCCACCCAGGCGCCCTTGGTTCTTATATTTAACAAGTGATTTATGACACTACATGGTAATAGCTTAAGACAACTGGAAAATTACACCCTATGAAAGGATCTAAAGGAGAGGGTGACTGTTCATCTCCAAGAACAGTCTAGTGCAGTCTCCCCACAGGATTCACGTTATCTTGGCCATCACTGCTCGGTAGCTGGGGGAGATGATTTGAGTGGACTTCAGTCCCCTCATTCTAGAGACAAGGGATGTACTTCATTCACGGTTTTGCTGTGGTTTAAATGAGGAAACACGGATCCAGCCCTACAGTGTCTAGCCCAGGCGATCCCTATGTACCAAGTAAGAGGGTGGATGGTACGTATCTGATGAATCACATTTTATTCTTGATGACTGAGAAGTCCCTCTCATATTGCTGGACAACAATCAGGAATTTAAATGCTTCCTGAATGGAGCTAAATTCTGTTTTTAATTTTGTTAATCTGAAAACCCTGTGCCCTTCGGAGATTTGGGTCTTACCCTGGGGGGAAGCCAGTTTTGCTTTGTTCCTTGGGTTTAATAGACATCTGCTAAGGAGGCAAGGGAGGCAGGTGGGAGGGGGCCCTTTGAAAATTTTCCTGGCCTGGTTTGTACCTAAACCATTTAAGTTTTCTTTACTTAGGATAATCTTGTGCTTATAATCTCAGCGGTGGTTGCCGGAGAAGTGATTAGAATATTCTAATTCATCGTTTCCACTTTGCCGCAGAAAGGAGATGGGGCCTGCGTGGGAGACAATTTTTGTTTAAAAACAAAAATATCTTTGATAATTAGAGTGGCAAGGGAAATTATGAAAAAAAAAAACACACCAAAAATGGGAAGCTGATTTCTATTTACGGTGACACAGTTGACAGTTTTCCCTGGTGCCAAAGACGGTTAGAATGCAAATGGTTTCATTTGATTTTTTTTTCCCCCTTCCAGAACTGGAACGGTTTCTCAGGCTACAGCCTGGCGCACTAAGGAATATTCTGATCTGGGCAACAGCGAAGTGAGGCTGTGGCCCACCTCAGTCACGGTTCCGCTCTGACTTAACTCAGCAAGAACATGTTGCAATGTTCACTCTGAGTCCTTTTTAACATGCTAAATGCAGATGTTGTACTCCCTGGCAGGAAAGGAAAAGGGAAGAAGCCACTCTCCTTGCCCTGCGAGAACTAGGTTTGTTTTTTGTTTTTTATTTTTTTAAGATTTTATTTATTTGAGAGAGAGAGAAATGACAGGAGAAAGAGAGCATGGGGGGTGGTCAGAGGGAGAAGCAGACTCCCCGCTGAGCAGGGAATGGGATGCTGGACTCATCCTGGGACTCCAGGATCATGACCTGAGCCGAAGGCAGTCTATTAAGCAACTGAGCCCCCCAGGCGCCCCGCCCTGGGAGAGTACCAAATACAGTGCTCACAGGGAGGCCAAGGAAGAATGAGTGTAGGAAGCCCACCTTCTTGTATTAAGTGAGAGCCAAACTCTTGCAAGGATTATTTTGGGTCTCCTTTCTTAGCTCTTAAAGGGGCAGACTCCCCAGAAGGGCAGGCAGCCATCCACGTTCCCTCTCCTGCCTCTGGGGCTTGGAGCAAATTATCTTGCCTCCGTGAACCTGTTTCCTTTTTCTCCAAAGGAAGAGGATCACACCCGCCCCGCCCTCCTCACAAGTTTGTGGCGAGGCTCTAAGGAGATGAGGTGCAGGAAAACACTTTGAAGTGCATAATGAAAACACTGGTCCTTCTAGAGGGTATGTGTGTGTCTAAGGAATAATTATCACTACCAACCTCTGCAGCGCCGCCACACCGCGGAAACTTCTCAGACACTCCGAAAAGGGCAAAACATTTGTCTTTTGTTTCACTAGCAATTTCCCTCATACTGACTTGGTGGGGGTCCCGGTCCTCCGCAAATGGCGCTCTCCTTTCGCCTGTTATTTTCCAGAAGAAACAAAGGCAATATTCTTCGTCCTCTGCGTGCCCGAGGCTGGCAGCGGATGCCATGCTGGGCAACCAGGAGCTGGCAGGTGTAACCATGCTCCGGCTTGGCAAAAGGTACGCAACCTGCTGAACCCTGAACACGGGCACATTCTGAACCTGAACCCTTGTTCGCTTTAAGCCCTCCCGCGAGTGGAACGGAGGCCCAGGAGGTCTTGTCTGAGAGCTCAGGGGCCCAGCTTTGCTCCAAACTCTGCTGCCACTTTGTCCTGCGGCCAGTTCTTGCTCACCCTGAGCTGGGGGTGGGGGTGGGGTTCCCAGAACGTGAAGAGCCCAAAGCTGAAGACCTTAAAAGCCCTTTTGCATAATCCAAAGCCAGAAGACGAAGAGAGGGCCTCCGCTTTGAAGGGACCGGGGTAACTGCCTGGAAAATGTTCCTAATACATCACGAGACATGGCAGAGATGGTTGTTGAAATGCCAAATGGCCGGTTCCATGTTTCCTCAAACCAAAGAGAGACACTTTAAAAAAATATATATGTACACCATTTAAGTTCTGAACAAAAATTTCTCTCTCCTTCCCCCAGGCCCAAATCAGTGGCTCCGGGGAGCACAGTTATCAAGAGATTATCTGGTCCCCAGAGTTTCGGGAGGCACTCGGCTGTGCCTCATGCCTCCGAGTGTCCTGAGGCGAGTGATTATCTCTCAATAACCTGTAGGGCCGTGTAGCTTAAATGATAACTTGACTTTAAAAAATTTAGAACTCGCCGTTAGGCAGTTTCTAAGCAACCTCCGTTTCCATGGCAAAGAAGCCTGGTGTTTATACTGATTTTTCACTTAAAATGCGGTTTTATTGAATTTCGCTCCGTGCAGGCAGCCATTTCCCTGCACTCCAGCCCTATCTACAATTGACGGGCATCAGCAAGTCCCTAATAAACTCCAGACACCAAACCAACGGAAGCCGCTCATTCCTTCATGATCAATAGTGGCCTGCCCCAAGTGACAAGGCTGGCGGTGGGGGTGGGGTGGGGCAGGAGGAAATGTGCTCCTAGAATCCGGTCAGTGGGGCTTGGGTCCCACCTCCCTGTGGTTCACCTGCTCCAGCCCAGGCACTGAGCCGGGTGTGTGGGATACAAAGACGGACGGAGGAAGGCTCCGGCCTCCGGGCTCCGCCTCTGGAAGGGAGAACGGACCAAGCAGAGAGACCCACGGTGCACATGTTGGGTGGGGCTGGGGAAGGACGCCTGAGGAAGGGAAACGGCAAGTTGCTTCTCTGCAAATACCAGTTCTAAGGCCCCTTCCTGCGTCAATGGTCCACAGTGATCCCCACGCACGGGCACTGGAGCACAGCTCCTTCATGCCCTGAAATGTGGCAACACCCCAAGAAACCGCTCTGCTGCAGATGCAAATGTTCCAGAGCGCGTCCTCACCACCTCGGTCTAGCCGGCATCTGCTCAAACGCAGCTCTAGAAAACCGCCAGCCAATCCGGGCCCAGTGAGGCTAAATAAACCGTAAGTGAAATGCAGGCTTCCAGCTCTCCTGGGTAACGGGCTACTCTTTCTCTGTCAATTACTTGCTGGAGGGATCTGCTGCTCCTTGTCTCTTTCTGGATTTATAAAACGCTCTCATGAGCTGTCTGCATAAGTGCCAGTGGTATAGGACTTGTGTATTTATTTATTTTGGGCTTCTAAAGAAGTTATTCGGTGATGTCTCCTTAGGAACGCGATACAGGCTGTCTCTACACGGCCATGACGAAATGCAATCGGGAAACAAACTCACTTGTTGGAAAGCAGGCACACCCACAAAGTTATTCTGGCTTCCCTGCTATTCCCTTCCTGGCAGAA